GGGATACCAGCAGTTTTGGTGAGGAGTATTCCTGGTGAGGAGTATTCATTTCTACATCAGACACCTAGCAGTGTTGTAAATGTTGACAAAGGCAACTAAAGCCTCATAAATACATCCAAGATACAGACATATATTGAATTCCCAACTCAACTTCCCATTAACTGGATCCCCAAAATGCCCTCAGCACTTCTAATGCAATTAGCACAATGGTAAATGAGGAAAACCAAAGGTTAATTTGGAGTGTTGTTTTAATCAATTGCAATACAAAAATCTTAATTTTGCCTATTTTACACAAAAGTGAGGCTATGTAAACACATTGCTAGGGTCTCTCCAAGATCTTTGGAAGTCATCCAAAAAGTGAGAAGCCCTGATACTTAAGCTTCTTAGGCTTCATGGTGAATCCATCTCTGGCTCTGAGTATAAAATATCTGTGGTATATTAAGAATTTGCTGCTTTTCTCATTATAGCAGAACTCTGCCTTGTACATATATACCCACCAGGGTATCTTTTTGGCCTTACTTTCATTTTTTTAAAAAATTCATTTATTTAGGAACTGAAAACGAGTGTGTCTGTATATATGTGTATGTGTATTCCTTCTAGTTTGTAGCCTACCTGAAATGCCATGGGCTTTAATTAGGGACTTCATTGAATAACCTGTTTTCCAGTATTTTCTAAGAACTGTGATCCTGCCTTTGTTTTATCAATATTCATTGGGACTCTAAGGCTTGATTTAAAATGCATCCTACTTTTTTAAGAATCAAGAAAATATGTGTCATTCTGCCTATAATTTCATATTCTGCCTGGCTGTACCCAATGTTGGGACTCCCAAGTTCGGTTCCCCTAAATAGTATAATTTTGTATATCTGATTGAATAGTGTCTAAAAACTACCAAGTTTTATTCTTATATGGATTATCTTCCCAGAAGAACATCTAATAATTTTCTTCAAGATGGAATAACTCCTGAAATTTATAGTCCATATTTATTGGTAAATCAAGTTTCAGGTCTGTTGGCCTTATTTGACTCTAAGAAAGTTGTGTCAATGTTAGCAAATTAGAAGACAAAATACAAAATGGCAGTATAATAGCTTTTGTTTGTAAATGCCACGCACACCCTAATCTTTCAAGTAACAAATCCAATGCATCTGTCATATAGATAGGCATATGATTTAAGATGAGCCAGTCATTGTGTTACATATCTGTGGCTACAGTGATAAGACAAATCTGGGAAGGTGATATTAACAGGAAAATTCATTTGTTCATCAACAATATTTATTGATGTCTACTCTTTTGCAGATGCTGTGCTAGATGCTGTAGTTAGAATGGTCCCTAAAACAGATATAGTGTTTGTTCTCATAAGACTTATGAAGATCAATAGTACATATTAGAGAGATTTCACCAAATAAAGGAGGTCTGGAAAAGTTTCTATCAAAAGTATGAAAAGTAGTCAGCAGAGTAGACAGAATAATTCTCCCCCAAAGGTGGCCATTTCTTAATCCCTGGCGCCTATGAATATAGTAACTTACATAGCAAAAGAGACCTAGCAGATATCCTTAAGTTAAGGATTTTGAGATGGAGAGATTATTCTGGATCATTCTGGTGTGCCCAATATAATTGCAAGAGTCCTCATAAGAATCAACAGGAGAATCAGAGTCAGAGAAGTCAATGTGATAATGGAATCAGAGGGCCAGAGTCAGAGAGAAATATTTGAAGATGTAATCCTGCTGGGTTTGGAAATGGAGAAAGAGCCATGAGCCAAGGAACTGAGGCTTCCTCTAGAAACTAGAGAAGGCAATGAAACGGATTCTTCCCTAGAGCCTTCAGAAAGAACCAACCCTGCCAACATCTTGACATTAGCCCTGTGAGATTGTTTAGGACTTCTTCCCTCCAAAACTGAAAGAGAATAACTTTTGTTGTTCTAGGCCACTACATTTGTGGTAATGTTAAGTAGCAATAGGAAACAAATACATTTAGCTAAGATCTAAAACCTAATCAGGATTAACTTGTCAAAGAGAAGAGTGAAGAAAAGTTTACGGACAGGGGGAAGATCCTTTAGCAAAGAGACAGTGTCCATTTAAGAGAAAGAAAAGTCACTGTTTTGTAAAGAAAGATAAACGAAAAGTGCTGAAAGAAGAAAGTGGAGGGAGGAAGTGGCCATATACTAAAGGGCTCTGCAGGCCAAGTTCAGGATTCTGGGAAGCCATGGATGCATCTTAACAGGAGACTATGAAACGGGACATAATCAAATTTGTAATTTGAAAATACTTCTCTAACTTTACTGTGGAGAGTGATCTGTGTGTGTGTGTGTGTGTGTGTGTGTGTGTGTGTGTGTGTTTTGTGGGGGGATTTAGGGGTTAATGCACGTCTAGCAAATCCTCCAGGTATGGAAGGTAGGTGGTGGGATATGTTTTAGATCCACCACTTAGAAACTGTTGCCGAAATTCAGGCAAGGAATAACAGCAGCTGGAAGGGGTGAGGGGAGAGAAGGAGAAAGAGACAGACTGAGATAGGTCATTCTAGACTCTGAATCCAGAGGTCCCTGAAACAGATTCTACCTAGGCACTTCTATTTTGGTGAACCAAAAAAGTTCCCTTTATAGTCACTTTCATTTTTTTGGCTTAGGTTTCTACAACTAGCTCTTGAAAACACTAATGCAATATAGACTCAAAATTTCCAGATGTAAATGGCTTTAGAGGCAACACACTCGATAGAAACTATTTTCTACTGGATGCTGGCATTATGTGTAAGCTCCTGGCTAACCTGTAATCTTGTAAAGAGAAGGTTTGATCTTCTCCTTAAAGAGTGAATTGGAAACAGTACGGAGGTTCCTCAAAAAGTTGAAAATACAGTTACCCTATGACCCAGCAATTTCACTACTGGGTATTTACCCCAAAGATACAAATGTAATGATCTGAAGGGGTACATGCACCCCAATGTTTATAGCAGCAATGTCCACAATAGCTAAACTATGGAAGAGCCAAGATGTCCACCAACAGATGAATGGATAAAGATGTGGTGTATATATACAATGGAATATTATGCAGCCATCAAAAAACCCCTGAAATCATGCCATTTGCAACGACGTGGATGGAGCTAGAGGGTATTACACTGAGCAAAATAAGTCAATCAGAGCAAGACATGTATCATATGATCTCACTGATATGAGGAAATCTTAATCTCAGGAAACAAACTGAGGGTTGCTGGAGTGGTGGAGGGTGGGAGGGATGGGGTGGCTGGGTGATGGACGTTGGGGAGAGTATGTGCTATGGTGAGCACTGTGAATTGTGTAAGACTGTTGAATCACAGACCTGTACCTCTGAAACAAATAATACATTATATGTTAAAAAAAAAAAAAAGAAGAAGGGAAAAATGAAGGCGGGGAAATTGGAGGGGGAGACGAACCATGAAAGACTATGGACTCTGAGAAACAAACTGAGGGTTCTAGAGGGGAGGGGGTGGGAGGATGGGTTAGCCTGGTGATGGGTATTAAAGAGGGCACGTATTGAATGGAGCACTGGGTGTTATACGCAAACAATGAATCATGGAACACTTCATCTAGAACTAATGATGTAATGTATGGTGATTAACATAACATAATAAAATAAAATGAAAAAAAAGAGTAATGTGGAAGATAGTACTGCTTCTCTGGAGGGGCTGATGTGCCTGCACACTTTCTTAACTGTTGGACTCCTGCCACCAGACATGTTTGCAGGTTCAGTTGATTCACAATAAATGGTAAATGATGTAATTCCATTAGATTTCCTTTAATGCAAGTATTTTTAGGTGTTACCTCCATTAATATATTCAGAACTACAGGATGCCAGTTACCTAGAATTTTCCTGTCAGCAATTTGATAATTCTGTAGACATGAATAGCTTCCCTTAGGCTCTCATGGCTTTAATATGTGGGTGGATGGTAAGAAAAAAAAGGAACATGCAATGGGCCTATTTTGTGACTCTAACAGAAACTCTTGGAAGCCATAGCACTTGGCAATCATAAAGTAATGCTTAATAATATGACTAAATTCTCAAATATACAGCATTTATTTTATTAGAAAAATAAATCCAGGGCCCCAATCCCAAATGAGCCACAGATAACTTTTGGTTTACATACTATAGTTTGTATCATAATACATATTACATTACTTTTACTAAAGAGGGTTCATACATGTATATTGGTATATAATCTGCCTTTCACTAAATAATGTATTTTCAATATTTTCTGCTTCATTAAAATTATCCTATCATATCCCTTTGTATTTTGCACTTTTTGTACTAATTTTCAGATAACTTATGTTAAGTTTTGAAAAACTAGAAAACCATAGTGCCTTTTTAGCACAGGAGGCAAAGTGTTAGTCTCATAATATGAAAAGATAGAAAATCTTGATTATCAAAATTCCACTAGAGATAACAATTGCTTTTAACATTTGGTATATTTCTTTCTAGACACATCAATGCATGTGCACACATGTTACATTGCACACATGTATTGCAAAATTTGGATCATCTCGCACATAGTATTTTGTACTTTTTTTCGCTCAGAGAGTATTAGAGCCTAAATATATTTCTAGTCCAACACAACTACTTTATTTATTTATTTATTTTTTAATCTGCTTCATCCACTTTACTTAGGGTTGATTTTGCCTTACAGATGCAACCATTAAAGTTTCTTTTTCCTCACCCAAGATTTAAAATATAGTCAAGCCTTATATATACATACAGAAGGCCTATATCAAGTAAAATGAAAATTTTAACACAAAATAATGCATGCATGCACATTGGTATACTCAATACAAAATGATGCTGGAGAGTTTACAGTTGGTGATGTAAAACAGTAGTTTCCAAGGAACTTACTTAATCAGACCTTCACAGGGCCCTAGAAAACTTCATTTTTAACAAGAATCCCAAAAGATTCTAGGCCTTAATTAAGTGTGCTTTAGGGAAGCACTTTAAACTTTCACTCTATCAGATTACATATACAATAAAAGTAAATTATAAATCATGTAATTGAACAAAAAACTTTTCTTTATAGAAACTATTAAATAGATATCTAAATACAAGATGGATTTTAAAATGAAATGTTATTTGTATTTGTAAAGATATATACACTAATCAAAAGCTATACATTAATAGCAAATCCAAGTACAAATGAAGATAATCCTCTGAATTCCATGTTTCATCGAGCATCAAAAACCACCAATCTTTTAGTCCTTTTCTTGTACATTATTCTGTATCCACATTCTCTGCATCTGATTGGATCCCTGGATTTTATTTCATTTTCTGTGTGACATTCTCCGCAGATATATATCATCGGCTGCTGCTTCGGGGGTTGAACGTCCTTTTGGGTGTCCATTGATAGTCCCTCTAAATACAACCAGCCAATTCCCTACCCACGTAGCCCCCAGAAACTAAGTACTCTGAAGTTCGCGGCGGATTAGGGCTCCTCGTTGTGTCAACAACACAACTACTTTAACAGCTTCATTTCTATGGGTAATATTCCATTTTCCAATGTGCTATAATTTATTCAATTAGCTGCCTGTTATTAATCATTTAAGTTTCTGTACATTTTCACTACTATAAGCAGTGCCATAGTGAACATCCAGATAACTCTTATCTTTGTGCTTATATTCACATAAGTGTAAATTCTGGATCAAAATTTGTGAAAAATTGTGTTTGGCTTTGATCTCAAATTTTATTTTGAAATCAGTTATAGTCTCTTCCTTCCTTCTACTCTTATTGAAGTGTATTTTGTTTAGGGGCCCCTGGATGGCTCAGTTGGTTCAGCGGCCAGCTCTTGATTTCAGCTCAGGTCATGATCTCAGGGTCCTAGGATGGAGCCCTTCCTCGGGGTCTGTGCTCAGCAGGGAGTCTGCTTGAGGCTTCTCTCTCTTCTCTCTTTCCTCTTCTGTCCCTCCCCACACTTGCACACATGTTCCCTCTCAATCAAATAAATAAATAAATCTTTAAAAAAAAATAAAAAGTAAAGTATTTTGCTTAGAGGATTTTATAAAGTTTTACATGTTTTTTTCTCATTATAATATCTGAATGATTCTTAAAAGTTATATCTTCATCTGAAGCTGATGTCTACATTGAAAGCAACATTGAAAGAGTATTAGACCCCAGAATGTCACTTAAATGTCACGAGTTTGGGTTTTTTATTATTAGTTTTAAAGAAATAACATTGCTTTTTAAAAATTTCTTAGCATTACTTTTGCCCTAAATACACGCATAGAAATATATTTCTAATAGAATCAATTGAGGCATCAGCCTTCCAATTCAGTAACTTCAACAACAGAACAATACGTATTTTTAACTTTGGTTGATATACATTATTTATGTATTTTTTCACATGCTCCTGGTCCAATATCATACTAAATATATATATATATATGTATAATATGTATATACATATATATATATATATTTAAATACACTTTCCAACATCACCACTATCGATAGTTGGTTGAAGCATAGACTGCAAAACGTTCCTCAGTCACCATAATCTCTTATTTTATAGTAATAACATACTTTCCTGTACTTATGGCCACTCAGAATAAGTACCGTATTTTCCAGCCTCTTTTTTGGGACATGATCAAGCACAAGTTTAAACTGTGACAAGAAGGATGTCAGTGGAAACCATAAACGCAAACTCTAGGAAGTATCTTAGCAAGAATGCGCCTTTCTTTCTATTTTGTCTTCTTGTCAACATCAACTGGAATTTTAGTAACTGGAAAAAACCACTTTGAGCCACTTGTGAAGGGAGGCTGCACACAAAGGCAAGATGACATAGAAAGAATGAGTCGCCGACACCAGGGCCACACACGAGCTCTGGACTATTTATCTGGACTTTTACATGGAAGAGAGGTAAACATCTGTCTTGGGCTTCTGTCATTATTACACATATCCATATGTAGGGAAAATACAAAATGTTTATATTAAATATCTAAATTAGCCAAGAATTTTTATCATTTTCAAAAATGTATGCACATTTTTATAAAGTGTACATATACATATATACATGTATATGTGTACTTTTTGAAAGGTATACATGTATATATATGTATATATATATATATATACTATGTGTGTGTATGATTTTATTACTTAAAAAAATATACGGTAAATAACTGTAAAATTCCCACATAATTTAATTCTAAATAAAAGATATAAAGACATGATATACATTTATATATAATGCAACTGTGAGATACTAGCATAACTTTAAGGAAAGATATTTTTAATCTATATGGTTGCCATTTTAATATTATAAACTGGTGCATAAAAGTGACTAATTGGCATGAATGACATAGTTTTCTGTAGACATTAAGTTTTATTTTTATTTTTAGACAATGAAAATACTCTGGTGCTATCACATTCTTTATGCAGAGGTAATAGTCAAAAGATTAAAATAAAAATACAGATTTAAGCCTTCCAAACTTTAAAATTCTCCTTGAATTTCTAAAAGGGGCTTTTAAGAACTGACTTGGGAGATGCTGTAGAAACCTTTTGAAACATAAACATTCTGTTTCATTCTATTTTCTGAGGCAGGAATCCTGCTATAAAAGAATTTCAAATTTACCCCAGTGGCCATGTCAGTGAATGTAGAATAAAGCCTTTTCTTACCTGCTACTATTTACTTTGTTATTGCCTATTTAAAATCATTTGCTGCTATAATTCCCGTGAATGAGACACCATTTCTATGTTATTAGAAAACATTCAAGGGCAACTCAATACAGTTAAAATGGAACTCTGCTAAGGGTTTGGCTTTCTGCAAAGTTAAACCTTCTAATTGACATATTCAGTTGAAGGAGAAAAATAATGAAAATTATTTTTCAGGTAGAAAATTAGGATTCTGGGGCACCTGGGTGGCTCAGTCGTTAAGCATCTGCCTTCGGCTCAGGTCATAATCCCAGGGTCCTGGGATCCAGCCCCGCATCGGGCTCCCTGGTCGGTGGGAAGCCTGCTTGTCCCTCTCCCACTCCCCCTGCTTGTGTTCCCTCTCTCGCTGTGTCTCTCTCTATCAAATAAATAAAATCTTTAAAAAAAAAAAGAAAGAAGATTAGGATTCTATAAATCTGCAGAAAAATGGAGTTCTGCCCTTGATGATTAAACCTTGTTTATTTCTAAAGCAGTGTGTATCCACAACATGGCTCTTCTCTTCTGTATTGTGATTAGTGGCTGAGAATATCTCTGCCAGACTCCTTCTAGATCTGGCCACCCCAACTCCATTAAGATGAATGTACTTGTCAAAATTTGCACTTTCATGCTTAGAGATGAATCAAGTTCAGTGATAGTTAGTTCAGGGTAAAATTTTTTAAATGTCATTTTTATTGTTACCCTGAACTTCAGATACCAAAATTCTGTTTTGGGGTCTAGGTTTTAAGTTTCTTAGTGTTCTCTTCTTAGTCCTTTCTATTTTTCCTTGTTTTTCTCAAGTAAATCTTTGTTTACTTACATGTGTTTTTCCTGACAACCTCTCCTTTCCTTAGCTGGATTCTGTGATTTTTCATTCTGATTTGCCTGAATTACTAGGACTCATGGTTCTTTTGACAGCCGTTCACTGCTTTTGGTCTTTCCTTACTGGGCAATTACTACTCAGGTTCTGATATTAGACACAAGGATACTTTAGGTGTTCTTATTTTTCTTTTTAAGTGGGAAATATTTTAGACATATCAATTCTTATTCCTAGTTCTACACTTTTATTACTTTCCAAATTTCCTTAGAAAATGTTTTAGCATATTCTTAAAAATAACTAAGAAATGGTCTCTAATCTGAAAAACCACAAGAATGGATTAATCTATATGAAGAGAGATTCTCTTGTTCCTGAAGAAAGGCAAGAATGTGTAGATTATTTCAATAAAAACATTAGCACTTACACAGAAAACAGAATGGCTAAAATTTTAAAAGACTAGTCATACTCCATGTTAAAGATATGCAACGATTAGAATTTTCATATGATTCTCTAGGTAGTATCAATTGACATCATTGTTTTGGAGCATTTTTGAGTAATGGATACTAAAGTTGACCCTATACATAGCATGTGTCCCAGAATATCCACTCTTAGTATATACCCAATAATATACCCAGATATAGTAACCAAAATACATGTTTAAGAATGTTTATAGAAGAAATACCGGTAACGTCCAAAAACTGAGAAACAACCTAAATGTCCAACAACAGCTTAATTAAAAATAACTTCTGGTACATTTACACAATATAATATGCAACATGAAAATGAATGAAATACTATTATAACACAAAGAGATAATGAATGTCACAAATATAATATTGAGAGACAGAAGCCAGATATTGAAAATCAAAAACTGATATAGGCATTATAAAATCAGGATAATTTCTCTCTTTGGAGGAGACGTTAGTGGTTGGGAAAAATGACAAAGAGCAGCTTATAGGATATTGGTAGTACCTGATTTCCAGATCTTGGTGATGGTTCCATGGTTGTGTTGACTCTGAAGTAATTGATCAACATGTACACCTATGACTATGAGTTTTTCTGTATTGCATTTTACTTCTAAAATGTTTAATGAAAACTCAAATCAATGTCAGATGATTTACTCATACGTAAATGTCTCTTTGCCACAAATCTTCAGCTATAATGATCATTAATCACTGAATAAGGCATGGGGTTTTCCAGATACATTTTCTTAAAAAGTTTTAGTACTTGGAGTACTGTTATGCTTGCTAAGCCAGAGAAGTTGGGCTATTTACATCTGCATAGTTTAGAGCAATGAAGAGTTTATAGAAATTCACTCTCCCGAGCTGCAGAATTAAATTCATAGCCTCTACGAAGAAGTACAACTTCTCTCTTCATACCTCATAAACCATCAACTAGAGCAGCCAATACATTATTTCTGAAGTACTGTTTATGGTCCTCTGGCTGTCGAAGCAATTCAGTGGATATTTATTGAGTACCTACCATATCTAAGTCACTCTACTCATCTTTCAGGAATTACATACACATAGTAAGGCACGATGACTCTTAAGCAGTGTAGAGAAAACGAGAAACAAAATAATAACCTTGCTTTATACATGTAGTTTGTAAATAAGTTCCTTCCTGGTTTGGGGGAGATTAATAACACTGATGAAAGGGAGGGTGCACTTACACAGCAAGAATAAAAGAAGACACAACAATCAGATACACATCAAAATTATGATGAACTAGTTCCAATTACAATTAATGAATAATTGGTATTATGAGACATCTAAAATAAATAATTCCATTTACTTAATGGACTTCTTTAATGATCATGAGACAACTGACAGCTGGCCACATATCTAAAATCTTATTGCCAGTGTTTAAAAAAGTATCTATGCATTTCTATGCAGTGTGTATATTGAAATGATGTAACTAATGGCAATAAATGATTTAAATATTTTTAAATAGCTGTACTAATAATAGTACTTATACACCTTCATGGGTGTGTTCTTTA